TCCAACACTTCCGTAGCAGCCAGACGCCCACGATTATCATCACGGTCCGACGACCCCCAAAATGACGAGGAGGAGGAGGAGGAGTACGACCAGCTCCGACGAGAGGAGAAAGAAGAAGATCTCAAGGAGGTGGGGGATGGGGAGAAGAAGTACAAGACGGACGCAGAGCGGCGGTTCGCAGAAAATCGCCGGAAACGAGTACGTCCCCCCCCCCCCCAACTGCCCCCCCATCATGTCCCTAAGGGTGATGCTAACGTGTGTGGTGTAGTTACAAGAGCTAGCTCGATCCGAAAAAGTACGGTCCACGCTGCTGAAGTCGCATAGGCAGAGGATCGAAGAGCTGAATACACATCTGTCACGGCTCAGCGAGCATCATGACATGCCCAAGATCGGACCCGGTTAATAACGTCAAAGGGTCAGGTCAACTGGGGATTTTGGGATGTTGTCTTTATGGAGTGGCTTCTTTGTCTATGTCTAAACAGAGGGGGCGGTCGGATCTCTTTACAACCTACAGGACTGGGAGTGAGAGACAATATCTAGGAAGGGCTGCCATGGGCGGCATATGTACTGTACTTACTTCAACTGTATTACCAAGCGAAAGCGAAATCAAGATACCTTAACGCGTTTTGTTTCTTATCTTATATTCCCTCCCATTCTCTACCTCCTGACCATGATTTGATTGCCTAGTTATTGGTCCTCTGTAGTAGATAGATAAGACAGCCGTGATTCTGTAGTACTCTTGTTTGTTGGTTACTTTATTCTATCTGTTAAATTACAACTTCCTATATCCATTGATGATTTGCTGTTGCTGGTGTTCATCACAGCCTTTGTTTTGTTTATTATTTTCCCCCTTGAACGGACCCGTGTGGTGGGCAATCTATTTCCAGTCTTTCCCACAATTATTTATCTCTTGTTAATGTTAAACCGGACCGCCCAAGCGCCATTGCCACCTTATTCTTTCTTGTTGTCCTGTCCTGTCAGTCTATTTTCCCCCAATGCCAATGTCCAAACCAAATTACATATATACCGACGTAAAGGAATGTTAATGTTAGCGCAACATATTGCCGGTGCCAAAAAGAAAGAACCTAAGGGGGGGAAAAAAAACCGGCGCTATGCAAAGGAATGTATTATGAAACCAAACCAAAGCCAAACCAAACCCAATCTGATAGGTCAACCTAAGACAAAAAGAAGAACGAAAGAAAAGGGGTTCCTTTCCAACCCCCCTTGGTTATACCAGCATCGCTACCGCTGCTCCCATCAATACTCCTCCCAAGGCCATGCCACCACTGTTCCGCTGTCCTGATGCTGCCCCTGTTTGAAGGCTTCCGGGTGCTTTGGTCGTGGCTGATCCCGACGCATCGGTCGGATTAGCACCGACCATGGTGGTTGCCGTGACAATAACGACCGCTCCATTGCTAGTGGAAGTGAACGTCTGCGTCACCAACTTCGAAGAGCGAGACGTCGGTGTGTTGTTGTCCGATGTGGCTGTGACCAAAGTCGTCCCTGTCTTTACGTTAGCACGGTTCAAAGACTAGGACCTAACTGAATAACGCAAAACACCAAAAAAGGACCAAAAGACCAAATCAAAAACGCGCAACGAGAGCCTTACCTCCATTAACCGAGGAGGATGGCACCAACCGAGACGTAGAGGATGATGATGGTATGGCAGTAGGAGAAGCAGAAGAAGCTGACCCGAGGACCGTAGAGGAAGATCCTGGAGTCGTCCCCGGCACCACAACAGAAGAGGAAGGAAGGGAAGTAGTCCCAGCTGGACTTATTGAGGTAGACGTACCAGAAGAGGTGTTTGGGGTGTTCGATGTAGAAGGGGTAGCAGAAGACGGTGTTGTCTGGGGGTTCGCTGTTGTGGATGCAGCAGAGGTAGGAGAGTTAGTGGCGGATGTGCTGGGTGTTGTGGGAGAGTTTGAAGAAGAAGTCGGGGAGTTCGGGCTCGTCGTCGGTGCTGCGCTTGTCGTCGAGTTCGAGTTTCCGTCCTGGCGCCTCGCCAGGCGGGCGAGCGAAGTCGCAAGAGGCGGGTTGTCACGGTGGACAGCATCGAGGGCCTGGTGCTCCGAGGACCATACTCCGTGCTGGAACCGCTCCGGGAAGTACTTGTGTAGTAGGTCGTGAAGAACCTCGGGCGAGGCCGCGTTCAGCAACGCCGAGAAAGAGGACGGCTCCGATTCCACCACAGCCTTCTGCTCCGGCACCGGCACCTTGTTCCCCTCATGGCAAGGCGTTGCCTTCGGTGACCTGGCAGCCGAGGCTAGACCTAGCAACACCAGCAGACATAACGACACTGCGAGCAACGTCCGTCGGGCACACGCCATCTTCTTCTTCTCGGTTGGGGTCCGGCGTTGTTGGTCCTGGGGAAGTGTCGACTGGCGTTGCTTGGAGTCCCGAGCTGTTGGGAGAGTCTTCTCCTCCTCGAGGAACGGTAGTTTGTGGGGTGCCATGGCAGGCTGTAGGAGAGGGGGTTGGGCGGAGAGCCTAGTATATTTGGCAAACAACGGCAGAATGTGGTGTGGGTTTCCCGAGTGTGTGGATGAAGTCGGTATGCCACCGAGTGGGGCTTGGCTGCTTTGCTGCAGACCTCAGGACAAGACGGCTTAACAAGGCTTAGTTTAGTGCCTTACTCTACGTCCTGATGTGCGAATATGCGTCGGTGATCGTCGTGGTCTAGAGAATGCAATGGGCTGCACGTTCATGCAAAGTAAGGAATCAGTCGAGTCCTCAGCCAACCACAAGAAAATAACAATGCGGCAAGTTCAGCCCAGTAAGCGAATGTGGGATATGCGGCAGATGGGCGGAATCCAGGTGAGAGCCGGGAAGGCCCAAAGTCAACAAAAAGTTGGTGTACCAGTTGTGTGGGAAAGGAGCTGACTGTGGTGTTTTAGAGAACCGCTTCTGGACTTCCCCACGTTTTCCAACAGAACCAACCCAAACGCACAAACTTTCCGTCTTTCAGCTTTGAAGTCGAGGAGGGGAGCGAGAGTTGGGGCAAAACTGCACCTCTCTGGCTGGTTTTTGGGCTCGCCGTACATTTAAGGTTCCGGCCATCAAAGGAAGTCAGCATCAAGGTTCTCGTATCCTGGCAGGTGGAGGGGCATCAGCTCCCCTGGGATCATGACGCTGAAAGGCAGGGGTGCTTAGCGGGCCTGCACATGCCAAGGGCCAACCATTAAAGGATCCACCAAGCGTGGAAAACACTGCGGCTTTACCCTGCCGTGCTGCTCTGGAAACGAAGCCGGAAGCGAAACGTACCGTCGGTGTCTCGAACTTGTTGGACATCCCACTGCACAAGCGAGGGTGGAGTAACCGCGTCGGAGAAAACCTCCCACCCAACAGCCTGGTTTATCGGCTTGGCTGGGACAATGCAAGATCGGATATTTCTCAAACGACTGTGCGGTTTGCGATGCTCGTATTCACAGTTTGTTTTGCTTTTCACAGTTATTCATAAGTCCAGCGCTTCGTCAACATTGTCAGTGGCTGTACATAGTAAATCCATGGATGCTCCGTGGCGGCGGGAAGAGAAAGCTCCGATAAGGACTGTGCTAGCTTACGCAACCTCAGCCGCCCGTTTTGTGGACGACACTGTGATTGGGAACAGCGCGGGCGGTGTCTCGTATCGTTCACAACACCACCTCAGCACCTCAAACATGTCGAATAAGAGTCAATCGGCTGGCGGTGGAGCGCCAATGCACAAAAGTGTGCTGTGAATCGTGCCGCATGCGTCCAATCCGCGGATTGAGATATGTCTTGGATTGGCCTCTTAGCGGCACCGCCCGACCTCAAACAGACTGCCAAATGTTTTGATTCCCTGGGCAGCCTGTTGTTGTCCAGCCACGAGTGCTTGAAGAAATGAATTGCATTTGTGTTTTCTGGTCCAAGAAGTCAAGAATGGCCGTCAAAGACGTCATGTTCTTAATGCAGGCTATTGAGTATCTGCCGGCCCGCTGGGATAATTTCGACGTTTCCGGTTTCTGGTGAGATGGAAAACGCCGGGCCTTGAAAATTTATCGCGCCGAATCTTGTCTAGACCTGGATAGGAAGACGGCCAAGGCGGCGGCGCAGTGCCAGCGCAGAATGTTGTTTCACGGAGACGGTTCCGCCTGATCTTAGCAGGCGGTGGCAGAAGACGGTGGATGTGAGGACGTCATCGTCCACTCGAATGTCTCACCATGCATGCTCGTATTGGATGATAATGTGCCGGCAATCCGTTGCTTGACATGATACGACTGTGGAAAAGAATCGTGAATCACACTTTACCACGCTCGTCACGGTAGAGGATCATCTTTCAGCTTCAGTGTGGTTGCATACATTCTGAAACGTAAACTAAAAAGAACTTGGCCAGACGCCACATTCTGCTCCGCCATGCGCTCCGATCTGATGGAGTGATGAGATGTGCAATGTGTTTGCGAATTCATTGGTCTTCTATTTTTGCACATTTGACGTTCAATGCGGGGTCCCATCGCTATGCATCCGGATTCGTCCATCCCGCTCGAGCTACGATAGTCGGGACCGAACACACGGGAAGTCGATGAGGCTGGAAAAGACACAAGACTGCGGTGCAACCTTGAGCACTGCTGCTAAGACTTACCTGCTTTCTGTTGAAATTTCGGAGAGGCTCCAAAATATAATCGTCATTGTCATGAACTTGCAGCTGCAGAGTCTTCTGCCGTCCGACCGACTTTCTGACTGATGCACCTCGCAGCATACAACATAAAGCATGCGAGACGGCTTAAAAGCGACATAACATCGCTGGACATAGGATCATACGACGTTATACTCCTCCATCATGTGGTCAGTCAGCGTGCATTTGACCCATGCATAGGTGACGCACCGAATTGAGTTATATCTTGTCGACATCTGATCGCATGTTCTTTTATATCATCAGCCTGTTAAAAAGCCTCTACCGACCAGCAGCGGCAAAGGGAAAAGAAAGGCGAAGGGCACTCGAATACGAGCTAAAAAGTAACCTTTGGTCGATATGTGAGAGAACGTGACAAGAGTGGGATTTGAACCCACGCCTCTTGCGAGACCAGAATGCGCTGAAATTTTGGTTCAGAAACTAGAAAGCTTGAGTCTGGCGCCTTAGACCGCTCGGCCATCTTGCCATTGGACAATGGAAGGCCTACAATCCAATATGCTCCATGTACTCGCTGCGATCTTCTGCCTCCCATCTTCTTGAAGGGCCATTCCCCCCCTCAACTCCCTAGTCGCGTTCGTATCAATTCGCTAGAAAGAAGGCCGTGTCGTTGTACGCAAATTGTGAACTCTGTCTATATCATCACGCTATATCGAGTTCTATCCCAAAGTAACTCCTCTGCCTGAACTCCGTATATCATGAAGAACCATCTCTCATGTCTATACCCAGATCTAAACATCCCTTTTTCTTCATCACGAGCGCCCCAGAACACATCGTCTACGCTCTATCATCATTTCCGTCATCAGTTGATCTTGGTAACCACCAACTCCCCCTTCTCCTCCCCATCCAACTCCACCAGTCCTCCTGCCTCTAGCTTCTTCTTCCACTTGGTACTCTCATATCTGGCCAATATCATGGTCATCTTCAGCGCACCTTTGTTTCTGGTCGACTCATGCTCCTCCACGTTCTCTCCCATTGGCGTGAATGTCCATCTCCCAAAAGCCCAGTTAAGTATGTATCTTGCCCTTGGATGGGGTGGCGTAGGTATATCTGCGTCTTCGTCCGAGTTCCTCACCGTCGAGTTCGCCGTAAGTACCGCTTTGATCCGATAGACCTCATCCTTTGGCGCGCTCTTCAGAAACACCAACAACTTATCCGCATTAACCGCCCCCCCCTCTCCCTCTGATCCCTCTCCCTTTACTTTTAGTTCAACCGACAAAACCTCAACCTCGCTCTGATGGCCGTGCTTATGCTCATGCGTATGCCCTCCTTCATGCCCGTTCCCCTCTCCCTCCTCACCCCCCTCATCTGTTAACGCCCCCGCCAACCCCCCATCAATCCCAAACACAACCTCCTTATCCACCCACCCCCTATCACTCTTGACCCACGCCGTCGGCGTATCCAGCTCCAAATCCCCCAGTCTATCCAGACACTCATCGAACCTCCTCTCGTCACACCCCTCCCACTTGTTAAACACCACCAGATCCGTATACCGCGCCTGTATTCTAGCCGTGTAGCTGGTGTCTTCATACCCCCGCCAGTTCTCGACGTCGATGACACTCACCACCCCGTCTAGCGTATACGCACCCCCAGTCTCCCTCGAGATGCGATTGACCTCCAGCGCAAGAGTGGCAGGGAACGCACTGCCGCTCGTCTCCACCACGATTCTATTCGGTCTCTTTTCTGCATCAAACCCCTCCCCCTCCCCCTCCCCCTCACACAGCTCCTTCAGCGCTTCGCTGAGTTGTCCGACAAGATTGCAGCAGATGCACCCGTTCAGTAACTCCCTCACGCCCGAGACCGCAGACGACGCAGCCAGCTGGGAGTCAACGGCCACATCGCCAAACTCATTCTTCAAAAGGGCTAGGCGGTAACCCGGGTTTGAGGAGAGCAGTTGTCGCACCAGGTTCAAGATCAGCGTCGTCTTGCCACTCCCTAAAAACCCCGTCACTATCGTTATTGGGATCGGTATTGCAGACGCAGACGCCATGGCCAAGCCACAGAAACGGTAATTAACGAGATCGGCGGGGAAAAGAGTGTGTGTCGCCAGGGATTGTCAACAACAGAAGAAATGCAAAGAATGAGCGTATCCGTACAAAAGCCTCAAGCAATACAGTTACAGAGGGCGAGAGAGATTTGCCTGCCGCGAAAAGGGTACGGGAAGGTTTTACGCCTGTCAGCAGCGGTTTTCGGCGCGGGGCATCCCGTTAGTGGGGCATACGAATAAGGTTATCGATACGGTGTGCGGTTTGCTTTAGTCTTTGGGAAGCAGAGAATCAATTTCCCATAAAGATAACCAAGAAATGCGTACAAGTATAGAACTAAGAAAAATTCCAGTCTGCCCATGGAAACTCCAGAAAAAGTGTACGAAACATCCCAATCCAGTCTATCACTCGTTCCCCTTGTCAGCCATGGCCACCTCACTCAACGCCTCCAGCGTGCACGTCTTGCCCAACAACATTGACAACGGCACATCAGCCTTCAAACTTTGATAAAGCCAGGTCCTGAACTCGGCACCAATCATGCTATCCATGCCGTACTCGGCCAGCGGCTTCTTGACGTCCACCGTGTCGTACTTCATCAGTACCAAATTCGAGAACCTCTTTCGCACGTGGTTCAGCACCGCCTGCGCCAACGTCTCGCCTGCCTCTGTAGCCTTGACCACCTCTGCAGGCAGGCTTCCATCTTTATGGCCCGAGCGATTATTTGCAGCATCGGCGCCCAGCGCGCTAGACAACAAACCCGCGCGGGCATCTTCAAGGACCGGGTGGTTCCCCTCGAACCCCTTTTTACGGAGTTCCCGCAGCCCTGAGGCTTCAAGACCAGTTAGCATGTGCGCCCCGGCCAGCTCGTCATACGGATGATGAATGCCCTTGCCCAGTGGCGTATTGGTGTTTGACAGAGCGAGGTCAAGAATCTGCACGAGCTCATCGGCGTCAATGGGCTGGATGCCTTTACGCAGCAGAAGAGCCTCGATCTCCGGGTTGTCATGGAGATATCCCACCTCGGAGATCATGCCCAGACCAATCGAGACGCCTGGTAGACCCTTGCTGCGTAGGAAGCGGGCGAAGATGTCTAGGAAATAATTTCCAGCGCAGTAATTGCACTCTGTAGCCGTGCCGACACTGCCCGAGACAGACGATGTCATCAGGAAAAAGTAAAGCTTGCTGCTGTCAGACCGCATCAGTGCATTGTACAGGTGCCACGTTCCATGGACCTTGGGGTCGATGCCCGTGTGCCAGTAAGCGTTGGGCATGTCGGCAAAGATGGCCTCGTTGAGCCCCATGGCAGCTTGCACGACACCTCCAATACCGCTAGTACTCATACCAGCAGCTGCATCCACGACGGCATTCACATCTGCTGCATTGCAGACGTCGCCAGTGACAACAGAGCACTCACCCCCTAACGCCTCGAGGTCTCTGATCAGGCTCCGTGCCGCCTCCTTCTTGATACTAGACCTGCCAAGGAAGGCAAACTTCCTGGCGCCCCGACTGATCATCCACCGACAAAGAGTGCGTCCTAGCCTGCCCAGGCAGCCGACCATCACGTAACTCTTGTCGCCGCTGAAACGAGTCGCATGCTTCAGTTGCTGGACGCGGATCTGGGAGTTGGCATTCTCGAGGTTGATGGCAATCTTGCCGATTCGACTCCGCGATGCGAAATAGCGGTAGGCCTGCGCTGCCTCAGAAACGTCAAAGACCTTCAAGGGGAAAGCGGCAATCTTTCCTTCGCGGTAGAGGGACATGGTTTCAGCAAGCAGCCGATTCCAGAGAGCGTGATGCTGCTTGTTGTCTGTGAAGTAGAGATTGCCGAGGTCGAAAGCCGTGAAAATTGTGTTCTTGAGGAACTGGTCCATCTCGAGGCGGCCGGCGGTGGAAAGGTCCAACTTTCCAATCTCGACAAAGCGGCCGAAATCAGCAGCGCATCTCCATGTGGCATGGAGTTGATCCCCCGTCAGGGAGTTGAGAATGACATCCACACCGTGACCCGCGGTGGCGTTGAGGACGCCCTCGAGGAAGGATGTGTCGCGAGAGCTGAAAATGTTGGAGGGCTTGATACCAAAGGTTTCGATGAGGTATCGCTTTTTCTCTTCTGTCGAGACTGTGGTGAAGACCTACCCCCCGTGGTTAGCATATCTTTCAAAAACGACAGGAAAAGGAAACGGGTCATCTTACCTCGGCACCAGCAGCCAGCGCCAATTGGATCGCCGCGATTCCAACACCTCCAGCCCCTGAATGGATCAAGATAGTTTCTCCCGCTTGGATCCTAGCGCGGTCGTGTAGGGCATAAATGGCGGTGGAGTAAACCAGAGGCAGCGTGGCGGAGACGTCGAAAGCCTCTGTGTCGAGAAGCTTGTGGCAGGCCCATTCAGGCAGAGTCTGGTAGGTCTGGAAGTGTGAAGGCGCCATCGCCACGACGCGGTCACCGACGGAAAAGCCAGTAACCTCGGAGCCGACCTGTACAACGGTCCCGGCGCATTCGAGCTGGCAGGTACCATCGGGCGTGTCGACGCGTCCCGCGAGAACGTAGTAGTCTTTGGCATTCACGCCGACCGAAGCAACCTCGATACGCACATGGGTGGGGGAAATTGACGACGGCGCTTCTTGCTGCCGGAAGAAGACGGTGTCGAACTGGCTAGCCCGCTCGATGGTCAGCCGCACGTCTCTGGCATCGCATAGGGACAGAGTCGAAGGCTCAAGACCCTGTTTGTTGCGGAAGGCCATGTTCACGCCGTCGTCTGGCGTGAAACGACTGACGTGGACAACGCCCTCGATTTGGGCGAATTCCATGTCTGGTTTCGACGTCTGCTGCTGATTCAGGACCGAAACTAGATGTTGAGCAGTCGCTTGCACATCTGCTTCCGGCTCGTCAATGTCATACGTGTAGAACTTGAGCGAAGGCTGCTCCATTCCTACAGCCCTGGCCAAACCGGACACGAGGGCGAAGTCGGGCTTGGCTCCTTTGAGGACATTTCCGCCAGTGGCCCATACCAGGGATGCTGCTCTGTCCGTCATGAACTTCACGCGCTGCATATCCTCGTCTGAGATCGTGCTGAGGAGAGGAGACTCCACTTCGCAAAGATTGAAGACGATAGTCCCCTTGGGAATGTGATGCGGCGTGAGGTCTTGCAGCGTGGTACGCAAAACCCAGTGGCCCTGGACTCCCCTGAGGTTATCCGCCAAAGCTGAACCGAGTCTTGATCTGCTCTGCTCGACGATCAAGAACTTGTGTTTGTGCAACGCTTCAAGGTTCGACTTGAAGTTGGGCACGTGACGCGCGATGACGAGGGCGGCCTGGCCGACAGAGCAACTAAGGCAAGACAGGCCACTTGACGCGATGAACGCCTGACTCTCAGGTTCTGGGAATAGGGCGAGGATGGTCGCCCCCTCGGCCAGTACGTTCTTGATCTGTGACAAGTTGTTCGTCGCCCAGGGCCCAGCAAATGGAACCAGTACAAGGTCAAATGCC